GTATTTCCTCCACTCTGTCTCTTTCCTCCACTGCTGGTGTTTATTCTCCATATTGGCAACTTGCAAAAGAGCTGAAAGTGCTATTCTAATTGCTTGGAATTTTTGGCAGAGGAGATGGGATGCCACTCGTGTTTGCCTGCCTGGACGTTTATAACTTGCAGCTGGCTCTACCGGTCCACTGATACTCTGCTAAACCATTTGAGTCTTGTGCAACTGCGGGTGTCTTCTTGTCATGAACTGTTCCCCCTCTACACTTTCCCAAAAAAAAAGAAAGGAAAAAGAACTGTAGGGGGAAAAGGGGATGGGTTTGGATGGATGTTTGAAAGACAAGTATTGTTGAGGTTTCCCTTGAACAGAGCTCCTCCATTTAAATTCAAGTATTTCTTCCTTATGTAATTGAATATTACCCAAACAGGAACGATGGCTTGCAACATCATGGGAAATAGAGCAGTATGCAAGCCATGTGGTACAGACAAGATCTTCCTTGACACCTAACTGGTTCCGACCTGATGAGCAAAGTGAGGCTACAAACTTGGGTCTCCTTGCTTGCAGGTAAATCCCAGTAGACACGGTGTGGTAGCCAGTAATGAGCTAATTTATCCTGGGGGATCTGTGAGTCATGGTGGTCACCATTATGGCTAGGCAGCCCTGGACCGGACTGGTCGTGTCACATGAGCCCAGACAGCAGGTGTTATTGGAAGGTTAAAACAAGTGTGGGTACGCAAGGGTTTCGGCTCTTAGCCTTCAGGTGACCCTGGCCAGCTGCATCCGAACAGGTTGCATATTCATAAGGAAGGCTAGTCTGCATCTTGGCTCTCAAGGTGAATTAACCCATGCCGAGCTGTTGTGTTGTGTGAACCAGGTCAGGGAGGCTTGCTTTTGAGTACAGATTTAGACGGTCATGGGGTAAGTGGATTTTTAAAAAGGCTTTATAGGTTAGAACTGGGCCTTTGATTGAGCCTTGCCAGAAGCAAGAGGCAGTGTGGTGCAGTGGATAAAAGGGGTGCACTGGGACGGGGCCTGCATTCTAGTCCCTCCTTGGCCACGAAGCTCTCTGGGTAACTCTGGGTCAGTCACAGACTTCTCAGCCTAACCCACTTTGCAGAATTGCTGTGCTGATAACATGGAGAGGAGACCCCTTCAAACCACTTTGGGTTCCTTGCCAGAAGAGGAAAGGCAGGTTATTCATGCCATGCAGGAATCTTTGCTTCTAATAAAAATATATGAAATCCACCCCTTAATTCTTTGCCCCCCTTTCCATCTTCGTATCTCTCAAGCTTTAAGCAGGAACCACAGCCCAATGCCAAGAGGACCCAAACCCTTCTTGGCCTAGATCCACATTTACCTTCAACCTCCACTTTTGGTTCTATGGCTGTGAAAATTATTTACATAACTGGAAGCAGCACATTGCATTGTATTTAGCTACACCCAAGCCTTTCTTAGCTGTACTTCTGCAACTGTATCCTGCAGTTGAAATCAGCCTTTCTTCAGAAAGGCATGTATTGTCCACCTAATGAAGTAGGGCTTGCCTCTCCAGACCTTTGAGGCCTTTCATTGGTTTTGTCCCAGTAGTAGCCCATCTGCTAGTTGAATTTTGCATATAAATTCGCAAGTACCTCCAGCTGGGAGGCAGGATTATCTTTAGTTCTCTGTCCAGTGCACACTTTACTATGATATAATGTGTAGAAAGGGCAGGGAGGCTCTGGGGAGGTGCAAGCTTTGCAACCGAGAGTGGTTTTACTCCACCACTCAACTCCTCTGCGGGCATACCGTAGAAAATACCTGCAGAGGCACAAGCAGCCCAACCCGAAGTAGGTCCGGTGTGAGGTCAGTGGGATTCACTTCTTAGGAAGAAAGCGTGGACAACGTGTGGCCAGAGAAGATGAATAGCTGTCTAACCAGTTGTGAGTAGCATCTGCTGAGTGGTTCTGGCTGCTTGATGGAAAGACAGCTGTGCAGAGAGTGAGCAGGAAAATATTTTCATAAGAGAGGCACAGAAATGGCAGAAGCATCCTAGGAGGGAATATTTGTACCTCTGAGGTTCTGCTATATTTAATGCTTTCCAAACACAAGGCTCTTCTTCGGGCTAGTCATTTACATTGTACAGCTGTGTTCCCCAGACAAATATATTGGACGTTCAATGAAACTAAGTATTTTAGTGGATTAATCATGAGTCTCTTAACTGAATGATTCAGTATAAATGTTCATATTATGCTAATCTTAATAAAGCTACCTTTTTGAGAAGTTTAAGTGTAACTTTATGAGAAGGACCCGTAAAATAGCCTACGAGCTTCTTCAAGATTCCTGTTTCATTCCATGTTACAGTAATAGCCTGCCAGCAAATAATAGTAAACATAAGCAAGGGCATTCTAAACCTCCCAACCATTTTGATCTAAAATCTCTCTATTTAGCAGATCAATCTACTGATTAAACTGGCTAAAGTTTGCAACTCCACTGAGAAGTTCACTTCCCTCGTGGTTTTGCATGACTGGAGCTGGATATAATGAACCAGAGATGCTGCTAACTCCTTTCCCTCCAGCATTTCTTTGCTTCTTCCTTTCTTAAAGCAAATCAAGACAAACGCGCAAAGATGGGCTTTTTTCCTGATGGGTGTGCTGTCGCTTTGATGCCAGCCTTCTTGCACCATCGAGGCACTTTTTATTTAGGCCACGTTCAAGACCAGTTAAATAAGGATGGCGCACAGGGAGTTCTGCGGTGGTGAGCTGCTTAGCTACTCCTGTGATGCTTAGCAACCAGGAGATGGCCATGTGCTGCCTTGTAGGAGCTGATGGAAGTGAACAACCCCAGATTTGCATGCAGTTTGTTGTTGGTAATTTGGGTGAAGGAAGAAGAAGACGGGAAAGCACTCCACTGCCTTTCTCCATGTGTTCATTTTCTCCCATTGCCTCATCGCTGGCTTGATGGCTAGCTTGGGAACTTATTCCCATTGGAGCTAATTTCAGAGAATGGGCATCGTTTTTCAAGAGCATCTGGAAGCTGGTTCATGCCTTGTTTTGATTGGATGACTTTCTACTGGTCTACCATTTCTAGCAATGTCATTCGTTTATTTACCTTGTATCTTGTCTTTCCTCTAAGGATCCCTCAGGGTGGCCTACATCACCTTCCACCTGTCCATGTTATCCTTGCAAGAACCCTGTGAGGAAGTTAGGATGAGTGAGTGACTGGCCCAGACTCACCCATTGAGAGCATCATGGTGCCCTGGTCTCTGGAGTGCCAACTCATCATTCTAACCACTGCACCATGTGGTATGGTTCAGGTGACCAGAGGCCAATTGGAGGAGCAATAAGGTTGCCCTTCCCTGTAGCTCCAGCCTACGCTACACTCACAGAAGGGTGCCGCAATCCCCTTGGAAGAGCTATGCTGATGTTGTCCTCCTCCCTATGTGGGATTCTTTTGACCCAACCATGTCCTTCTTCTGTAGCTTCTGCATCCTTACATTATAAGAGCAGCGAGATGGGCCACAGGAAAGCTCCAGATGTGATACTCCCCGCTGAGGTGAGAAGTGGGTCGCTGGTCCACTTCAAAGTTTACTTAGCTTCAGGAGATGACGTTTTTGGAAGCTGTGCAGTTGAAGTCACGTGGAAATCGGAAGCATAGAAATCAGCTCTGAAGTGGTGGCGGCTGGGAACACACACTCTAAATACAGAAGTGCACAGGGGAGAGGTGGCACTGCTGGTGGCTTCTCGGGTGCCATCAGTTGACATTCTAAAGAATTAAGTATAATCCATGCCCTGCCATCTGCAGACAGTCTGCAGAGCTTCACACATTGCATTTTTTGCTGTATCCAAATGCAAAAAGTGAGTGTGTGGATGCAAGAAAAAATGTTGAAAAAAGTATAATATAGGTACAATTGTTGGAGAGCCGTGACGGGTTGGCACTCTTTGCTGAGTTTATGGTAATCCAGGACTAGTTGCTTTGCAGAGTGTGAAATGCTCCCCACCCCGCAAGAGTTGGAGTGAAGACATAGGTACATGGGTGGCAAATAATCACAAGGAATGCTTTACTTATGTGAGAAATGTAACGTTGGATCTGTGAACTCATGTGAAAGAGCAAGTTCTATTTGTATGAAAAGGGAAAGCACAAATTGGGTTTCTCTGTTAATGGAAGAATTACAGCTTGTGAGCCAATTAGAGGAAGGGTTCGAAAATGGAATTAAATGAACCATTAGTTAGAAAGCCTCTAATGTATATAACAATTAAGTACATTCAACTTCAAGCTGAATCTCCTTTAAGAAGCACTCTGGAGTTATGTTGCTAAAAAGGAATGTAGCCGGCCTGCTGTAGTATTTTATTTATTATATTTATGCCCTGCCCTTTTCCCTTCAAGGAACTCAAGACTTGCACAGTCCTGCTCCTCTTAATTTTGTCCTCACAACAACTGTGAGGTGGGTCAGTGACTGACCCAAAGGCACCCTGGTGAGGTTTGTCACTGGCTGGGGACCAAATTTCATCCCCCAGATCTTAGCTCAGCCTTCTAGAAGTCTGGGTTAGGATGTCTGAAATAAGAGTTTCTGTTCTCTGCTGGGTGATGAAGCTCCTTGAACTTGGACAAGTCACTCACTCTTTTAGAGGTTTATTATAGGGCTAAAAAACTGCTTTTGATTCCCTTATAAGTTTGACCTAATGCAAATGGAATTGGCAGTCCTTGGAGCATGAGGGAACCTCTAAAATGAGGCTTCTGGCCTCATCCATCCGGAGAGGAAAATCCCTCTGGCATTTCCATGGTGTAGAGAGGAGGCACCATGAATTAGGAGGGGCAATGGAAATATCGGCAGTTTTTCTACTTTTGCAGTGGTCCTGAGTTCCTAACCCTCCACAAATGTGGAGGGTCAGCTGTACAGGAAAGTCTTTCTTAAATGTTTTATATGCATTTTATATACGTGATCCAATTTACATACATGTTCCACTTAAAGGTGTTCCTGGGAACGGAACTCATTTGTAACCCTTATTAAAAAGAAATACCTACTCTTTTTGTTGCAGGAAAAGTCTGAGGAATTAACTGTACCAGATACATTGTCATCAAGCTGTGTATCTTACCAGTCCCGTCAAGAGTGAGATCCACTTCAGACCAGCAGTTTTTGCTCCTCAATGCTGAACCACTTAAAGGTAATGTGCACATCTTGTGTTGTGACAAACTGAACGTAAGAATTAGGATTTTCAAGTGCATTGAGAATTTGTTTTCATTTTTCAGGTGTAGGGTCTGGTTTATAGGAATGTGATCATTTACAGGTGTTTGACTCTATCGGGCAATGGTTAGCATTGCATTCTTATGACAAACTAACCTGCTTTAATATTCCAGAGAAATAATAAAGAATAGTTACATTTGGAAGGAAGATTTAAAAATTTTCTCACTTCCAAAAGTTGCTGAATGCTCTACAAGCACCTCTTAAGCACTGAATTGACTTTTTTGTGTTAATGTGAGTGGAGAGGAAATGGTTAACTTTTGACGTGCAAAATGAGGTTGGAAAAATACATCACACTTGAATAGGGCAAAATCATGAATATGAGGCATATCAGCAGCTGTTAAGGCAGTGCTAGGCAAGCCTCCTTAACCCAGAAGAGGTAGGGAACAGGAGAGGAAGATGTTCTGACTGCAGCCAGGCCTTGGAGGCCCCCATGCAGGGGGAGAATGGTGGGTCTTGTGGGGAGAGGACCCCTTTGTGATTTTGCAGTCTTGGCAAATGCCCAGCTGACTGCCTTCTTGAGTCTTGACAGCGGAATGTGACTTGTGCACAGAGGCGGCATACACATTTGAGTCCAGAGACAGCGATTGTGACATATTCCTGTTCAGCGGCGGGAATCCATCAGATCCTTCAGCTCTGCCCCCCATGCTCTGCCCCTCTTTTCTCTGTCTTAAACCCACCTCAGACTGAGCATTGTGCAGGCATCCACCCGGAAGTGAGCCCAAGCAGTGTGCGAGGCCAGCCTTTGAAGAGGCCACTCAACTTTTTGAAGACCCCTTGTAATTAGCACTGTACTCATCAGTCTTATGCTTGTTCATTTGCAGCAAATCACACATGTGTGATCACACACTGTGCAGGCAGAGTTGCTTCCATACATGCAACTTGCAGGCTTTGCATACTTTGCGCAAAGAATAAGGCATTTGACATACTTTGTACAAAGAATGACATGTTTTTTGTCCTTTGTGCAAAGAAACTGCTGGCCTTGTGGAATGTCTTTGGGCTTGCTCTTGGCTTGGCTTGCTTCCTGGCCAGAGCCAAGCATGGGAAGGAAGTCCAGCCAGCACAAAACAGCTGGATTTCAGCCTGATGTACTATGGATAATATGAATTCTTCAAAAAGTTTCCTTACTTTTAAAAACACTATTTATTAAGAATTTCAAAAACAAATTACATCACTTTTCTACACAGTAACCCTCCTTTGCGATGCATTTTTCCCAGCGTCATACCAACTTTTTAATGGCATCAGCAAAAAAATGGTTTTGGTTGAGCCACTGCTGCACCACTGCTTTTGCATTATCATCATCACATGAACATCTTCTTCCCCTTAAAGCTCAGCATCCATCACACTAGTATGGCCATTTTCGAACATTTCAATCCACTCATCGATGACTCCATGAGAGAGAACTTTATCCCCATACCGAGTACACATGCAGAGATGAATTTGTGCTCCCAACACTTTCTGCCCACAAAAAGTGTAAGTTTTGCAGCTATCTTCACCACAGTGTGACAACTCTTACACTAAACTGTGAGGGCAGCCAGCTTGCCAGACAGACAGACTAGTCACACATCACTCTCAGACACAACCGATTACTATTCCCCCTGCCCTCACCGTTTCCAACAAAAATATAAAAGTGCAAAAACTTTTGGAAGACCCCTTGTAATTAGGACCGTACTCGTCCGTCTGATGCTTGTTCATTCGCAGCAAATCACACGTGCCCCCAAGCCAGAATCCCACATCAGTCTTTGGTTCTACTCTGAAAGCAACGTGTAATTTGTGCAAAATGGCTTGCTGTGTTTGCTTTATGGCTACTTCCACTCAGAACTGAAAGCTCCTTTCAGGATCAGCTTCGTACCATCCAAGATGGAAGCTGATTCCCCCATCCCAGCTTTTTTTTTTTCCTGGTCATTCCTTTATTTGTTTCAGGAATGAGTCATAGGAAGGGAAACAAATTCTTGCTTTTGTGTCTTCATTAGTGGGAAAGGATGGGAGAGAAACCTCAGGTGGTTCCAAAGCATTATTTATCTTCTTGTAGGATCTAACTTTGAAGCCAAAGAGGATGGCCTGGGAGGGAGGGAGGGAGGGGGAGAGAGAGAGAGCGAGAGAGAGAGAAGGCCTGGAGAAGAGGAGACAGGCTCTGGCATAGCGTACTGGTCCCCCATAAATGTACGGACCCAATGCTGGATTGTCATGGAGGGTTCTGAGCCACAAAATAGTTTCCTTGAGAGGAGCAACAGACAATCTGATATCTTGTGTTTTTGAGAGTCTCCACCAAATAGCAAATCTTTTCGTAAAACTATTTTTGTTTTCAATTTTACTCTCTTCATGACCACCCCCTTCACATGTCATTTTTTACTATCTGATTTCCATTGGTCTTCCAGTTCTTAAGTACATTCACCTGATGCTTGCCTTGTGGCTGTGTCCTTGTAATTAGCAATTAATAACATGACAATTGATGAACGGGTATTTAAAGGCAATCCCCAGTATTCCAATGTAGTCATCTTGTAATGCAAATTTTAATCCCAGGAGTAACCTGCATAGCATATTTAGTGTGCTTTATTAATTATGATGATAGATGTCCTGAAAAAGCACCCACCAATGGGTTTAAAACAGGGATCCATAGGAATTAAGAATCAACCAATGTGACAAGTCCCCATCTGCTAAAATGGGAGAGTTATGCCAATCCAAATTCAAGAAAATACTTGATTTCTATTTTTAAAAAGATTAAAAGCAGCCATAGCTGCTGCAGTGTGTGTTTTCTGGGAAAACGTTGTGCGGTATTCATGGGTGAAAGGAACATTTACCCTTTAATAACCCTTTATTTGCTGCACCCCTCTGTGCCTCTATTAGGGTAGTCAACCAATTAAACTATTTTAGTGAGTAATCATCTCCTTTCTAGATGGAGTTAAATATTCATCTCAATATAGATCCTTTTCTGAGAAATTGAAGAAGATGTGAACCTATGCTTTAACTAAGAAACAGAACAACTTTTTGTTAATAGATGTAATGGCATCCTTTAATGCTTTCAGTTTAACCAAATCACTTCAAATTATAAATGAATATAAACTCTATTTCACACTTTAAAGCTGGCCTTGGTGATGATTCAGTTAATCATCAGTTAATTAATCTATCAATTAAAGCTCTCTCTCCTTCTTTTTATAGATTTAAAGTGCTTATTAGGGTTCATCAGAAGTAGCACCTGGATTTAGTAAAATGGAAAAGGGAAGATTGGAAATATCAGACCCCTCCCTTTGCTGTACTTCATTTTATCCCAGGAAGATAATTGTTTATGTGTTAGTACAAACAATGGTGTATTACATTTCTATTTACTGGAAGTATGTATACCATGCTTAGGGTGGCTCACAACGTATTTGGAAACATTGACATCTCAAGAAAAAGTAAATTAAAAAAAGTTACAGATTAAAAGACAGGAGCACAGCTAATAAAATAAAAAAGCAAAAAACCTACTGGAAAAAAAAAACAAGTAGCAGGACAGTGGAAGTGGCCAGCTTTGAAACACTTTCTTTTTGGCCCTTTTTTCCTTTGCAGATGTTGCTTTTGCAAGGCTATTACACAAAGTATTATGGGTAACTTTTAGGAGTAAGAAATGTGCACATGTTTATATCTTCCAGATAGTTCTACTTATGCTTTTCTGCAAGGAGGAGAGGTTTCTCAAATCCCAAAGCAGATTGCCTGCCTGTTTATTAATACATTGATGTTTAGTAAAACAAATAGTTCGTGTTATTTGTTTAGGTTGGCTGGATTTCTAGCTGTTCACTTGTAGTGAACAATGACACTTGGGAATTTCAAGCTCATATCACTTTCCGTGTAGAGTCTATACTTCGACGAAGATAACGATCCTATTTCTGTTGGAGGAAAGAATTAAAACTGTTATATTTTGAGAGGCTGATGTAAAAGATTCGGTGTATTCCTTTTCCTTAGGAATCAGAGTATGCCACACTGTAAGAACAGTACAAAGAATTTGGAGAGGGTTTAGGTTTGATCTAGAAGGAGCATCTTAAAAGATCTAAGCACGCTGGCATTAGAGGACGCAGCTGCCATGACAAAGGAGAGGGCAACCAGAAAGCCCAAGAGAACATTCCACTGAGGTAAAGCAGGCCAGATCTGGATGGTGGGAGAAACTGTGTTTGATGATGGGGATGGGTCATTGCACTGCTTTTATGGCCTGAGTCCTTACCCAGATGAGCACCTGTCCTTGGACTGGAGTGCCATGATTCCAAGGATAGGAAGGCTGCTTCCCATAACTGTCCTGCCTCTACACCCCATTCTTTCACTTGCATTGGCAATCAATGGCTTAGGCACTACCTCTTAAGCGACCCCCTGAATGTAGGAGTTGTGCTATTCTCGTTGGCCTCGAAGGCAGCAGCAACTTTAAATGCTTCTTGTTACAGTTTACTGGTGCTGAGCAGCCAAAAGGCCACCCACATGACCTGCAAATTTGCACATAAATGTGCTAGCCAGGACTTCAGCAACACTCGGAAAAGCACTGAGTCAACGTTGTTGTTGTGATTCCCAAATCATCCTGTGCTCTTGCGTGACCTTTCGGCTTACAACAGACAGCTGCCATATGTGGCGGGCTTGGCTTTGTATCGTTTCTTGGGGCCTTCACATTTATCCCGGGCGGAGATGGAGGCTGCTGCCTGACCCAGAGAGCTGTTGCACGTGAGCAGAGCAATCCTGGGTATAAATACATTGCGTTATAAAAGGAAGATGACTGAGAGCAGCATGCTCCCTGGTGTGTCAATCGTCTTCCTGGAACTGTGAGCGATGATTCCCTTCTGAGATCATCTCTCCAGAGTGATTCTAAGGACAACAACAGTTCCCAGCCAGTTGCAGAAAAGCACACAGGGAGGTGCAAGCAAACCCAAAAGAATTCCCCCTCCTCAAAGCGGAGAGAGGCAAGAA